GGTGCAAATTGAGATTCGAACGATCTTTCGGGGTGTAAAATGAGATTAACCCTAATTATATAGACAATTAACATATTCTCACCAAATGTTCTAACATCTCAAACAACTCATATCCTAATTAAAATAGTATATATTGGGCTCGTTTGATTGCCGTATTAGAAATAGATGGATTAGATAAAATAATCTAGTTTAATACAATACAAAGGACAAAAGAGAAGATTAAATGAGGTATTAGAATAATACGTAATTTTATATAGTGTTTAGTAATACAAAACGTAAACATTGAATAGTAGTTATTTAATCAAATTGGTTATTTGGCTAAAAAATTATTTCATCGTATTAATATTGAGTTAACAAAAATACCCTCAATCAGTGTTTGTTATATTGATGACAACTTGATTTTATCAGTTAGGGGTTATAATAGTAAATGTGTAGAATAATACGTTTGAATTGGATTATAATATCATATCTCGTGGTAGTATTAAAATACCTCCATAATATAAGTCTATCGAATAAAAAATATAAAATAAGTATATGATTAATATATGTTTTTTAAATTAATATAGTATCAAATTTACTTACCAAACAAAGTATTAGACTCGATTAAATAAAAAATAATATAATTAAATATTTATTCCCCTCATAATACGTCTATCAAACGAGCCTATTGGGCAATATATTCAATCACCATAGAAAAAATATATCCTAATTCGCATAAGTCTTGACAAATCAAGAGCATGGTCCGAAATAGTTAGTAGCCACTATAGTCCATCTTCAGCCAGCCACCTGTAGAAGCGACAATGCAAAGAGTCTCCGAACTCATACTGCTTCATATCCTAGGATGCTAGAGTTAGAGTCGATGATGAACCGAAAAATCCAAATTTTTTATAACCAAAAGCAAAGCAATTAAAAAATTAAACCCCCNTCGATGATGAACCGAAAAATCCAAATTTTTTATAACCAAAAGCAAAGCAATTAAACAATTAAACCCCCTACAATCAACTGAAATCACATCAGCAAAAGCAACAATAATATTGCATAATTCTCCTGGAATAGAGAGAGATTCCTAACTTGATGATTGGTAATNTCAACTGAAATCACATCAGCAAAAGCAACAATAATATTGCATAATTCTCCTGGAATAGAGAGAGATTCCTAACTTGATGATTGGTAATTGTAGGCTAATTTTTCATGCAACAATTATGACCAAAGGTGATAAGCACATTAATCATATGAATTCACGTATGTAGGTATCAGGCTACCTACATACAAAGTCAAATGAAATTAGACAAAATTTGGTAATTCATCAATGCCTTCTTGGTTGTTGGGATTCATTTATAAACAAGTGAACATATAAATTTGGTAATACAAGCAAACAACAAAATTGACAACACTTTTGCATACAATAGAACAAATAAATTGGTAATGGAACAAATTATGAAGCCGATTGGTAATGACCTTAATACGTAGCTCGCTGAAGCTAAGAGTCTTATAGCCCAAAACAATGAAAATAGTAGTTTTAGTAGTTCCTTAATACCTTATTACTAATTTATTTATAGTAAAGCAAGCCTTTCACCTGGCTAACTCACAAAAAAGCACTAGCCAGGCCTCTCTATTTGTTTCAATGAAAGCCTCCACGCTCGCATTCTACGGGAAACTTCTTTCACTATTTACCTTCACTTCAAAGCAGGAAGCAAAGGGCGAAAACTCCAAAACTAGTAAAGGGTGCTTGTGTTGTGGTTTTGAGTTCCTTGGCTTGCGTTCTATATAGTCACCACAGGAAGAAAGCGGGGAGCATTCTCTATCAAATAATGATAGAGGGGGTTCATGGTCCCTAGTCTCATTTCTGTCGAACCTGATTCTCTATAGTATGACGTCTTTGATTAGATGGAGACAGATATATAGAAAGTGTGTAGTGAGGGATCTTTCTAGGTAGCCAGTCTTTACTTAACTCGACCGAAGCTTGACTTAGCCCTAGCGACGCCCAAAGACTCCCATGCCTTTCTTGGTTGGACCAACCCAATCGGCGATTACCGTTTTCCTGAATTGGGAGAGCAATAACAAGTCTCTCTTTTTTTTGGGGGGAGCAGAGCAATCAAAGAATGAACCAAACCAAATGATTGTTCTAGAATGACNCCTAGCGACGCCCAAAGACTCCCATGCCTTTCTTGGTTGGACCAACCCAATCGGCGATTACTGTTTTCCTAAATTGGGAGAGCAAGAACAAGTCTCTTTTTTTTGGGGGGAGCAGAGCAATCAAAGAATGAACCAAACCAAATGATTGTTCTAGAATGACTATTCTTCATAATTGCTCCTTGAGATGCAGCGGAACCATGGCAATTAAGATCTCAAGATGCAGCAACACCTATGATGCAAGGAATAATAAACTTACATCCCGATATCTTTTTCTTCCTCATTCTTATTTTGGTTTTCATATCACGAATCTTGGTCCACTCTTTCTGGCATTTCCACTATCAAAAAAATCCAATCCCGCAAAGGATTGTTCATGGAACTACTATAGAGATTCTTTGGGACCATATTTCCTAGTATCATCCCGATGTTCATTGCTATACCATTATTTGCTCTATTCTACTCAATGGATGAGGTAGTAGATCCAACCATTACTATCAAAGCTATTGGACATCAATGGTATTAGACTTACGAGTATTCGGACTATAACTGTTCCGATGAACAGTCACTCACTTTTGACAATTATACGATTTCAGAAGATAATCCAGAATTGGGTCAATCACGTTTATTAGAAGTGGACAATAGAGTGGTTGTACCACCAAAACTCATCTACATATTATTGTAACATCTGCTGATGTACCTCATAGTTGAGTTGTACCTTCCTCAGGTGTCAAATGTGATGTTGTACCTGGTAGTTTAAATCAGAACTTTATTTTCGTACAATGAGAAGGAGTTTACTATGGGCAGTGCAGCGAGATTTGTGGAACTAATCATGCCTTTACGCATGCACCCAAAACCATAGGCCCATTACTGAGCCCACTCTGGCTCAGCTGCACCACCCAAGGTGTGAGCCACTCGAGAAGCAAGGTATTATAGTAAGCGGCTGGAGCAGTATGGAGCTGAGGAGCAAGGCAGTAAATAAGATAGAATAAGGGGCCAGGCTCACGGTGGAGCAGAGAAGGCGGTTAGGATAACGAACTTGAAACCTGGAGCCTGAGCGGCAGATGAGCAAGTGGTTGGTGGCCAATAACACCCTAGTTGATGGCATTCCTCTCTGCAGCTGGCACTCGAGGAACCACAGGGCACTCCATATAGAGCAAGCAAGTCTTAGGGAGGAGACACCCATGCAAGGACCTCCATTCTTATTAGGAGGTCGAACCAAGGACCTATGGAAGTCAGGGCTACCCTGTCCCCATGTGCAACACAATAGTGTCTTGAGTGAGGAGTTTAGAGGCCTTATAGTAGTACTGTAAACCCCCACATGCTTATCTTAATATATCAATGTAATTATTTTTGAAATTCTAATATATGTGATAATGTATGCATGAACTATGTGGATTATAAGAGTAGAAATAAAAATTTTAGTTAAGGTAATAGGGCATGTTGTAGAAGTTTGGAAGTATTTAGGAGTGAAAACNATAAGAGTAGAAATAAAAATGTTAGTTAAGGTAATAGGGCATGTTGTAGAAGTTTGGAAGTATTTCGGAGTGAAAGCACCTTTTAGACAAAATTTGGGTAGAAATGATATTGGACACTACCTAGTATTTGGATCATAACGTTTTATTCTGATGTCTATTTGATCTGAAATTTATACAGTAGATAGTATACTTCTAGGGTTACAAAGTGTATTTCATGAAAAGTTTTCAAATTGACCTCTAAATGGGTCAAAACTTCATTGAAAGTTTTGACAGAAATTGGGATGACGTTCGAACGATAGTGAGTCCCAGTACTTTGGTTTCTACAGAGCTGTGATGGAAATGCAAAAGTACTGGGAGCAACTAACGTTCGAACGCCAAGTGACGGTCGAACGTGAATCAATAATTTGCACTATTAATGTTCGAACGCCAAAGTGACGTTCGAACGTGACTTACGGATTCTAAGTTTCAGAACCACGCACATGAGGTCATTTCTCACCCTAGAAATACTTAAAGACACCCTCTTTAGTCTCATTTCAACATTTTTAACCCAAGAGAGGCTTAGAGAGGAAGAAAGAATGGAAAAAACAAGAGATTCAAGGGTTAATTCAAGTTGGGAAAGATCAAATCTTCATCTTCTTCACTCAAAACTAAGAAAGTAAGGTAGAAATTTTCTTCCATTCTTGTACATTGAGGCTAGGGTTATATCTATGTATGTTTTGCTTCAAGATCCTATATATATATATGCTATGAAATCATTGATTCTTGATATTCCTGCAAATCTTACCATGTTTTAAACAAAGCCATGTTAGATAGCCATGAAATCTCATTTTCTTGTCATAAAATCCTCGTTTTTTAGGAGGAATGGATTCTTCTCTTGATTTTTCTTTTTTTCTTAATTTAAAAACTTTAGTGTTTAATAGTGAACAATAAAAAGACATTTTTAATGATCTCTTGCATATTTTCTTAAATTGTTCTCTTAGAATATTACATATAAAATTTGGGAATTTTTGAATTTTACTTGTGATTTGAGGTATTGGGTTGTGTTGTATCTCTTGTGGATGTTTGGATGACCATGAGTGGTTGTTGACCGGATATCGTAGAGTGGATTAGATGCGTTTCTTACTCTGTGTGAATTTGAAGGTTCCCTATCACTCGTAGTGGGGTTGGTGTCTTGTGAGGACCAAATCACTATTCGCTCACGTGAAATCAAGACTGAGGGTTAGTATACTACTCCTAGGCTGGATTGTCCCTTCTAATGCGTTGGTATACGCCCTTTCTAAAGATTGGATATCCTTGCGAGGATTGTGTGTGTGTGTGTGGGGGCCAGGATATTTTCGATGTGTTTATTTATGCGATGTCATACATCATACCTGAGATACAAGTATCGATACATATACATAATATTGTGAAAGATAAAAGTTGTGGGTTGATATACATTGTGGGTAATGGTACAAGTTGGGGGTTATTGGTAATGTTGTGGGAATGGTTTAATGGTGGAACTGGTTTTACTTCTTCATTTTATATATCGAGATTGCGTAAACTTGAGATCGAATGTCACTGTTTTCTTTCAAAGGTTATATATGATATTTGTGAAATAAGACCGACTTGTTTTATATGTTTTCAAAACCTTCTCCAAGTTTGGGAGGATTTTTCTATAGAGCTTAGTGCTCACCCCCTACAAACAATACTTATTTTCAGATTTTAGTTTAGAGGAAGAGCCCCGAGTTTACGAGCAGGTGATTTGGGAAGCTCAAGTTGATGGGCATGTGGATTCGGAGGGGGATGTTTAGAATTGTTCTTTTTATATTCTAGACTAAGAGATTCATTTTGAGACAATGTGAAGTCTAATATTTTTGCTATTCCGCTGCAAGTTAATAGTTAATTTTTGGAGATGTAATTGTCATTGGTTGACATATTCTTTTGGATGATGTTGTAAATATTATGAATGATGAATGAAATCTTCTTTACTTATAGATTATTTTTAATTGCTCTCATGATGTGAATGATTTTATATATTAATGCCGTCCAAGGTGAATTTTGGGGCGTTACAAGCACGAACTTCTTTTTCTTTCTAGGTCATGTGAAGGGGGCCAGTCCAAGATTGTACTATTCCTATATAAAGACAACAGACGCTCTCAACAGCTAGGCGCTACTATATTTCTGAGTGATTCTAGCTTCTTTATTCTTTCGTGCTGCGGTGAACAAAAAAAAAAGAGGGCCGTCTCAGCGGGAGGAGAAGGACCTACAACGACAGAGACTATTGACCCTCTTCTTGTTCCTAGCCGTTTGTTACGAGTTCGGGAAGCCTCCTCAATAAGAGGGATCCCTAAAAATAGAGAAGGGCGGGTAGAGCTTCTGCAAGAGCCTCCCCCTTCTTCTCGGTCAAGATAGATGGGAAGGAGCCCTATCAAGTAAAGGTCATGACCAGCCTATTTATTTATGTACGTAAACCTTTGTTTCAGGGTGGGGCCACCCTTCCTCCTACTAATCCGGCCATTTCCAAACTTGTCTGTCTCACCCCATTCAATTCAATGAAGGACTTCTCCATTCTTGCGATTCCTAGCCCTCTTAGCGTATTATTAGATATTATAAACTCCTAGAACCTTTGAATAACAAATAAGGTAAGGCTATGAAGCCCCTTTTTCAGCTTATTTTGCCTTGACCCTTGGATGGGTTGGAGCTATGAAGCTTACCTTATTCGTTATTAGAGAAAGGGTCAAGGGCTTTTTCAGCTTTTTGCTTGCTTTCTCGCTTCCGAGAGGTGAAGAGGGCTTGACTTACGATCGGTTTCCAATCCTTTTGCTTCACACTAGGATTGGATTTCACCTATGATCAGATCAGTGGGCAACCATAGTTGACTTTTTTCGAAGTGTTATTGACGTTGTTGAAAGCTAATATGGAAGTAAACCTTGATTTTCGGAGCTACTCCCAGCTCATACTATGGTGGAGGAGGTGCCATGAAGATCTAGGAGTGTGAACAGTATGAGCTGATAGGAGCCATAGATGCCAAACAAACCTTGCCCCTATCTATTGTCGTAGAAGCTGTTCCTAGGAAAGATTATGGTTCTCGCATATCCAACCAATTAATCCCCCAAACCGGGGAAACTTAAGCGGAAATGAAAAAGTAGAGTGAGGGAAAAGGGGGGAAACCACTAAATGGAAGGCTTCGCTCGCTCGCTTTAATGCTCATTTAGTACACAACGAGTGGAGTGCATAAGCCCCTTTAGAGATAGGGGTGAATATTACACGAGCTCGTAAGTCAAATATGGAATGAGCCTTGTTTACGAAGCAGAGTGACCTCGTATTGCCTGATTCTGGCGAAGCTTCTAGCACTAGATAACATGCATTCTAGTATGGCAGGAATACTACTTTTTAGGTCGGCCACTACATAGGCGCGATAGAGAAGCCAAACCATATAAAAGCAAGTGAGTGTAGCAGTCTCGTGTCTTTTGGTAATTACTTTTTTGTTCCTATCCCATATTTGGTCTTCAATGTGGCTACCCCCAAGTCTTAAAGATTGAGTTGCTATATAAATATTAGAAATACTAGTACTTGGAAATACAACAATGGTAGAAAAAAGGCCTTGTTGAATTACCAATGGCAGAAAAAAAATAGAGGAATAACCCAAATAAATTGGTAATACAACAGAACAACAAATGATCTGTAGCTGACCGGTGACATCAATCAACATTAGAATTACAAGTGAAATGAACAGAGGAACAACATAACATAAGAACTGAACAATAGAATTAAAAGCCTTTGATAGCACTAAACCCGATCAACAAAAACCCTAATCCCCACGGTATGTTTGGTGGAAGGGATTGAAAATAAGAGGAATAAAGAAGTAAGAGAGATATATTTTTCATCTTTTAAGAAAAGAAAGATTTTTTTTTCTTCTTCTTGTTTGGTAGGAGAGATGAAAAAATAAATTTTTTTTTTTTGTATTCTACTATCTGGCATTAAAAATTAATAATATATATAATAAATGTCATGAATACTCTTGTGTTTGTTATAAAATTAAAGTCTAAAAACATTCATGGGCCCCACGACTTTATATCACTTCAAGAAATGAAATGATGTGGAGCCCAATATTATTTCTTCCAGTCAACAAGCAACCCATAAGGGCATGAAGACAAATTTACCAAATATAATTAGCAGCCTTCAGGTTCCCTTCAAATTTCAAGATGAATTGGAGCGGATAAAAAATGGTGGGCAAAGTAGATTCACTTTTCTTCCATTTTATCGTCCCTCCTCTTGTTCCTAACAAAATAAAGGAAACACTAATTTCCATCCCATTTTAATCCCCTCATTTTCCATCTATCCATTTTTCTTCGTACCAAATAGAGGGCAATGCTCTATTTGGTAGGATAGACAAAAAATAAGAAGGATAAAGAAGTGAAGAAAATAGACTTTCCATCCCTGAAGGATGAAATTATTCTTTCCCTCCTTTTTGTTTGATATGAGAGATGAAATGTTCAAGAAATAGATTATTCACTGTATGGTATTAGAAAAAAAATGAAAAGAAAGAAAACCAATAGAAGTTCATTCTACCATTTTATATAAATGTTTTTAACTAAATGAATTAATTCCTTTAATCTTAAAAAGATTCAAAATTCCTTTATTTTGTAAAAATAATAAAATAGATCTATATCCAAAAATAATAGACTAGCAAATACAACAGTGAAGTTATGTCGAATAACACATTAATTCAGTGATTCATACATTCCTTCTTTTTTTTTTTTTGATGGTTATACATTGTTTCTTTTAATAATATACCAACTTTGTTAAAACATTGACATCTGATTGACTTTGATTGGCCAAGTTTTTACTTGTATCCAGCTATAGCTCCTCTAGTGTTTTGCAAAAGATCTGTGAACATGAATGTAATACACCATATAAGTGAAGGGTAAAAATTTCAAATTAAAAAGTCATTGCCTTCCCTTCTGTTTTTTGCTTCATTTTCCGCCCAGATTTGGGTTGAAAATTTTTGGTGGGAAGAAAAGATAGAGATTTTCTCCCACTTTCTACTCCCTCACATTTTTCTTTGGTACTAAACAATGAAAACTTTTTCCTTCCCTTCCATTTTCCTTCCACCCATTTTTCAACTATACCATACACACACTAAATATCAAAAAAGAGGAATGAACAGAGAAAAAAAAAAAAATTAAACTTAACATGAGAGATAGAGATCTCAAGAGAGGAACAAGAAAACCCCTCAGCATAAAAAAAGAGAAATGAACCGAGGAACCAAAAAAAAAAAAAAATTGTAAACCTAATGAGAGAGATTTGAACCGATTACAACGACTTACACCATATCTAAGAGAAAAGGTGGCTGAAAAGTAAGATAGAAAAGTTAACTTTCCTAATGGAGGAAAGGAAAATGGACCACTCCAACTATGCGAGGAAAATAGCAAAAAGTGAAAGATAAGGTGTGAGCAATGGGGTCCACAACTTTTATTAATAGATCCGTCCATATTGTCACACGAGTCGTCTGAACATATATAGTTTGGACGTACGGTGAACCAAATACACCCTATAGGATGGGTTCAACATTTGCAATATCAGTACTTGAAATTCATGTTGAAGCATACATAAATTTCATAAGGGATATTACTGGTCACAAGTTCCTAAATAGAATTGCGACGCCCCGATTTCATATTCAAATACATTAATTAAATATACATCATTCAAACTATGAGAGTATACTAAAGTACGATGAAATAAATAAAAATCATTTAAGATCCAAAATCTGACCAAAATATGAACAAGAGCAACATTTCTAGATGTCCACTTCTGGATCCACGTAATGATCCGCCTCAAAAACCAAGTCCACTTCCGGATCCACGTAATGATCCGCCTCAATATCCAAATCAAGCTGCTCACCTACATATGTGTCCTCTTCAAATCTAAAATCTAAAAAATATAAATATATCATAGGATGAGCAATAAGCCTAGTAAAACACCTCCTCAAGCCCAAACAAGGCTTCAAAAATAATTAAAACAGGTAGGTCTCATTTAATATTATAATTTGAAGTAAAATCATGACAATTAATGAGATCTTAAGTTTACGGTATAAACAGTAAAGTTCATAACCACTAATTGATAACCGCTAATAAATCTCATGTATGTAAATAGATTTGCATGAAACTACACAATCGAATATATCAGGTCCACATCACAAACCAACCAACAAATCAATCACCGTTGGACTATAAATATTTAGGAAGGGCGTATACTGATGCATTGACAGTGATAAATCCTTCTTAGAACTAGTATACTAACCCCCAACCTTAATTTTCAGGAACGAATAATAGTTTGATTCTTGCAAGGTACCAACTTCACTACAAGTGATAAGAAATCTTCAGATACCTAGAGGTAAGAAAAAACATCTAAACACTCTGTGATATAGATTCGAGTGCAATAAACATTCATCACACCCACTCATATAAGAGCTAATTTTCANATACCTAGAGGTAAGAAAAAACATCTAAACACTCTGTGATATAGATTCGAGTGCAATAAACATTCATCACACCCACTCATATAAGAGCTAATTTTCATAATTTTTCCATAAAATTCAATTACATTCAAGAATCATAGTTCCATAACTTTTCCAAATGAATAATTCAAGAAAACATGTAAGATATCCCCAAGAAAACATCTTTGAATTGATAGTAATCAAGAACTAGGGTTTTGAAATCAAGAACATAGAATTTAAGATGTAAAACATATAATTATTACAAGAAATAGATCATATTATCAAAGGAGTATAAAAATATTGTATATCTATCATTTATAATTGGGGAAGAAATAAATCATACGTATAAGTAATCCTAACCTTCAATGAATGAACTTAAGAAAGAACCCTACCTGAATCCGATGTTAGAAGATAGTGCTAGCGTATTTGAATCAATCCCAACGAGAGAATTCTCTCCGTTCCTCCTCTTTTACTTCCTCTCAAGCTCTCTAAGGTTTTCTAGGATGAAAAGCTGATGAAAATAGGCCTAAGGGTCGTCCCCTAGGTATTTATAATGTAAAAATCGGAGAAGACACCCAAAATAGGTCAGTGACAGGTAATTATCTGCTCGTTGGGTCTGAACGCGCATTTTAAGTGTTCAAATGCTTATCTTTTCATCAAACTCTCTGCTAAATTCATCTGGATGTGTACCTTTTCCCATCTAGACATGTGTGACAGTCTACCCCCAACTTCCTGCTAGATTTTGACTTATTTTGAAGCCGATTCATGAAATTTTTGTAAAACACTTTTGTAGCTCTGGAAATCTATTTTCTACTGTCAAAATTTCAGATCAATCGAACATCATGGTAGAAAATTGTGGTCTAAATACTGAGGTAGTCTCAAATTTTGTTCTACCCAAATTTTTCCAAAACATATTTCAACTTCGGAATACTTTCAAATTTCCAATACATCCCCATATCACCTATCCCAAGGTTCCTTGACCTTTCGGATCTATTTTGGATGTTATTTCTTTCTAAATATGTTTAAAACTTAACTAAATTCATTTTTTGTATGAGTGACCATCCCGAAAT